TTGACAGAACATGGTCGACTTGGTTGGTCGACGAAGGAGGGGCCGACGTCGACCTTGACGGAGGGACTCAGGTCGCCGAACAGCTGGGCATCGAGTAGCAGGGCGTCAACATGGTGACGCCGACTTCGGGTAGCCGACTTCGGGGTCGGCTGACAACTGTGCTGGTCGAAGTTGAGCTGGTCGACCAGGAGTGACGTCGACCTAGAGCTGGTCGACCAAGGGTGTGGTCGATTTTGGGAGGACAACTTGAAGTGGCCGTCGACCTGGGTGGTCGACGGGCACACATCGGAGCAGCTGGTCGACGTGGTTGCCTGGTCGACGCCGACGTCGAGTAGCAGGGCGTCAACATGGTGACGCTGACTTCGGGTAGCCTACTTGGATGGTCGGCTGACAACTGTGCTGGTCGACGAGGAGCTGGTCGACCAGGAGTGACGTCGACCTGGAGCTGGTCGACCAGGGGTAGTGGTCGACCTGGTGAGGTCGACTGGAGGTGGCCGTCGACTTAGGAGGTCGACGGGCACATACAGGAGCAGCTGGTCGACGTGGTGACCCGGTCGACCAGGTTACCTGGGTGACGAGGTTCTGCGGAAGAGTGCGACGGTCGCCCAGGTGGTTTTGGTGAGACCAACCTCGGTGGTGGTATCCCGAGGTCTGCAAACTGATCAGAAGCAGTCGTCAGCACGAAGTTGACGTGGTGTGTGCGTTGTGCAGGTGACGAGGCACTGCACGCCAATCATCTGCAAGCACCTGCGAAGCGGGTGCACTGCTGTCCTGCGGGAGCAACGTTGGCACGCCGTCAACCTGCGACGTTGGCACGCCGTCGACTTGCAGCATTGGCAAGCCGCGACTCTGCACTGCTGGAGCGCGGTCGACCAAGTCATGCTGGCACGCGGTCGACCATGCTGCGCTGGCAGTAGACTTGCTTGCATGCTAGCTCTGATGTAGTCTAGTCTTGCCAACTTCATTGTATCATTGTTGTCAACCTTTCCTAGTGAAACTCTTGCCAATTCTTCTAGTGAACTAGCAAATAGTGTGAGCACAGGGAAACGACCAAGGAACGTATGAACGCAGAGATCACACGAGCGTCCGTGCCTAGCCCGTAGTTTCGCTCCGTTGTACTAGTTATCTCCGTAGTCTCATCCATATGTTTAAGTAACGCACTTACTTTTAGTACCATCCACACAGAAAAGAAACGCATTTAATTCTAGTGTCATCCACATGGGTAAGTGACGCGCTTACTTTTAGTACCATCCACATGGTTAAGTAACGCACATACTCTTAGCACCACGCATATGGGTAAGTAACGCACCTACTCTTAGTACCATCCACATGGTAAAGAAACGCACTGACTTTTTAGCGCCATCCATATGGGTAAGTAATAGATTTACTCTTAGAACCATCCACATGGATAATGAACATACTTACTTATAGTATTATCCATATGGTTAAGTAACACACAAAAACTTAGCGCCATGCTCATAGGTAAGTAACGCACTTACTCTTGGTACCAACCATATGGTTAAGTAGCGCACCAATTTTTAGCACCATCCGGTAAGTAACGCATTTACTCTTAGTACTATCCACACGGGTAAGTAACGCACTTACTCTTAGTACCATCCACATGGGTAAGTAAAGCACAAACTCTTAGTGCCATCCATACGGGTAAGTACTGCACTTACTTTTAGTGCCATCCATATAGGTAAGTAACACACTTTTTCTAAGCACCATCCACATGGGTAATTAACGCAGTTACTCTTAGTACCATCCACATGGGTAAGTAATGCACTTACTCTTAGTACCATCCACATGCACCATTCACATGGATATGTAACGCACTTTCTCTTGGTATCATCCTCATAGGTAAGCAACGCAATTTACATTCAAATGTACCGCAGTTACTGTTAGTACCATCCACATGGGTAAGTAATGCACTTACTTAATGCCATCCACATGGGTAAGTAACACACTTACTCTTGGTACACTATCCACGTAGGTAAGTAACGCACTTACTTTTAGTACCATCCACATAGGTAAGTAACGCGGATACTCTTAGTGCCATCCACATGGGTAAGTAACGCGCTTACTCTTAGTACCATCCACATGGTTAAGTAACGCACTTACTCTTAGTACCATGCACAGGGGTACACACTTACTCTTAGTACTACCCACGTGGTCACGTAACGCACATACTCCTAGCACTATGCACATGGTTAAGTAACGCACTTACTGTTAGTACCATCCACATGGGTAAGTAACGTACTTACTCTTAGCGCCACCTATATGGGAAAGTAACGCGCTTACTCTTACACTTACACTTAGCGCCATCCATATGGGTAAGTAATGCACTTACTCTTGGTACCATCCATATGGGTAAAAAACCACACTTACAGTATCATCCATATGGTTAAGTATCGCACATACTCTTAGAATCAATCAGTAGGGTAAGTAACGCACTTACTCTTAGTACCATCCACATGGGTAAGAAACGCACTTACTCTTAGTGCCATCCACATGGGTAAGTAACGCTCTTATCCTTAGCACCATGCACATAAGTAAGTAACACACTTCCTCTTAGTACAATCTACATGGTTAAGTAACGCATTTACTCTTAGTACCATCCACATGGGTAAGTAACGCACTTTCTCTTAGTACCATCAACACGGGTAAGAAACGCACTTACTCTTAGTACCATCCACATGGGAAAGTAACGCGCTTACTCTTACACTTACTCTTAGCGCCATTCATATCGGTAAGTAATACACTTAGTCTTAGCATTATCCACATGGGTAAATAATACACTTATAGTATCATCCATATGTTAAAGAAACAAACATTATCTTAGCACCGTTCACACGGGTAACTAACGCACTTACTTCTAGTACCATCCACATAGACGGGAAAGAAACGCACTTAATCTTAGTGTCATCCACATGGGTAAGTTACGCGCTTTCTTTTAGTACCATCCACATGGTTAAGCAACGCACGTACTTTTAGCACCACGCACATGGGTAAGTAACGCACCTACTCTTAGTACCAACCATATGGGTAAGAAACGCACTAGTCATGCACTTACTCTTAGAACCATCCACATGGATAAAGAACACACTTACTTATAGTACCATCCGCATAGTTAAGTAACACACATAAGCTTAGCGCCATGCACATGGGTAAGTAACACGCTTACTCTTAGTACCATCCACATAGGTAAGTAACGCACCAATTGTTAGAACCATCCCTATGGGTAAGTAACGCATTTACTCTTAGTACTATCCACACGGGTAAGTAACGCACTTACTCTTAGTACCATCCACATGGATAAGTAACGCACTAACTCATAGCACCATCCATACGGGTAAGTAATGCACTTACTCTTAGTACCACTCCAAATTCACATGGGTAAATAACACACTTACTTATAGCACCATCCAGATGGTTAAGTAACGCACTTACTCTTAGTACCATCCACATGGATAAGTAACGCACTTACTCTTAGTAACACTTACTCTTAGCGCCATTCATATGAATAAGTAATACACTTAGTCTTAGCATCATCCACATGGGTAAAAAACACACTTACGTATAGTATCATCCATACGTTTAAGAAACGCACATTCTCTTAGCACCATGTACATGGGTAAGTAACGCACCTACTTTTAGTAGCATCCACACGGGAAAGAAACGCACTTAATCTTAGTGTTATCCACATTGGTAAGTGACGCGCTTACTTTTAGTACCATCCACACGGTTAAGTAATGCACATACTCTTACCACCACGCACATGGGTAAGTAACGCACCTACTCTTAGTACCATCCACATGGTAAAGAAACGCACTTACTTTTAGCGCCATCCATATGGGTAAGTAATGCACTTATTCTTAGAACCATCCACATGGATAATGAACATACTTACTTATAGTACTATCCATGCTCATGGGTAAGTAACGCACTTACTCTTCGTACCAACCAGATGGTTAAGTAGCGCACCAATTTTTAGCACCATCCGGTAAGTAACGCATTTACTCTTAGTACTATCCATACGGGTAAGTAACGCACTTACTCTTAGAACCATCCGCATGGGTAAGTAACGCACAAACTCTTAGCGCCATCCATACGGGTAAGTAATGCACCTACCCTTAGCACAAATCACATGGGTGAATAACACACTTACTTATAGTATCATCCACATGGTTAAGTAACGCACATACTCTTAGCACCATCCACATGGGTAAGTAACGTACTTACTCTTAGTACCATCCACAAGGCTAAGTAACGCACTTACTCTTAGTACCATCCACTGTCAGAACTAGCAGTGAGAAGTAAGAATAAAGAAAGGAGAGAGGTTTGCACTAGCAGCAGTTGGTATACATATAGGAAACCCTAATTGGGTTGTACTCGCTATAGAGTACCCCACTGCAGGCTAGACAATTATAACATTCTGACACACCCCCATAGCCAAAGTGGGGTGTAATCAGCACAGTGAGCAAGCATAGCAATAGTTCACAATTATGAGCAAAGCTAGTGGTAGTCACAGCGGGCAAGTGAGGAGGAGGAGGAACTGTGAAGGGAGAGAAGATTGGAGACGACGACTGAAGCTGCAAACACACGGGCAACAGGAGCGCGCACACAGTGGCTACCGGGACAGCGCCCCGGACTACTGGAGTAACAGGCTCCGCGGCTAAGACGAGCGGCAGGAGCAACGGACCCACGGGCGACAGGCGCAGCAGGCTCTCTGGGCTACCAGGACAGCGCCCCGGACTACAGGTGCTGCGGACGACAAGACGGCAGCCTCCGCTCAACCTCCCCCAACAGTCCCACCCCCCTTGACACACACTCCCTGCTTCACCCCTAACTCCACTTGCACGCCACCCCCTCGTACCACTCCGACGGCTCCAACACATCCACCCCCCTCAGCGGTAGCTGCAGCAGTGGGAGACGGAGGAGGAGGAGGAGCAAGGGACGGCTGACAGAGACGGCACCCCCATACGCTCCACCCCCAAACCCTAATTCAGGAGCACGGGCAGCAGCAGGGGTGGGGCGCCGTCAGAAGCGCGGGGGACAGCGTGCAGCTCAAGGGAAGAGGAAACGGGGCGCCCACGGGCCTGGCGCAACCCGTACGAACCGCGCGGGGGCGGCCCGAGGCGCGCCCTAGCCTGGCGCAGCCCGTATGGGCCGTGCGCGGGCCTGGCGCTGCCTGTACGGGCCGCGCGCGGGCCTGGCGCAGCCCGTACGGGCCGCGCGCGGGCCTGGCGCAGCCCGTACGGGCCGCGCGCAGGCTGTACGGGCCGCGCGCGGGCCCTATGAAGGTCGCGCGGGCTGCGACGGGTGACGGGGGGCGACGCGCAGGTCCCCGTCGCCCGTCGCAGCGCCTCCCGGGGGCGACGCGCGGAGTGACGGGGCAGAAAGCCGCCGCGCGCCTCGGGGCGCACGGCGGGCAGAAAACCGCCGCGCGCCTCGGGGCGCACGGCGGGCAGAAAACCGCCGCACGCTCCGAGCGCGCGGCGGGATGAAAAATCCGTCGCACGCCACGGGGCGTGCAACACACAGAGTAGCAGTAGCAGCGGAAGCAGTGAGGTGGTGGGCCCACCCACAGGATCGACCCAGGAGGGTCGACCTGCTCTGATAGCATGTCAAGATAACTAGCAGTGAGAAGTAAGAATGAAGAAAGGAGAGAGGTTTGCACTAGCAGCAGTTGGCATACATATAGGAAACCCTAATTGGGTTGTACTCGCTATAGAGTACCCCACTGCAGGCTAGAACATTCTGACATCCACATGGGTAAGAAACGCACGTATTCTTAGTACCATCCGCATGGGTAAGTAACGCACTTACTCTTCGTACCATCCACATGGTTAAGTAACTCTCAAATTCTTTGCACCATTCACATGGATATGTAACGCGCTTAGTTTTAGTGCCATCCTCATGGGTAAGTAACGCACTTTAGTTCCATTTGCATGGAAAAGTAACGCAGTTACTGTTAGTACAATCCACATGGTTAAGTAATGCACCTACTTAATGCCATTCCCATGGGTAAGTAACACACTTACTCTTAGTACCATCCACATAGGTAAGTAACGCACTTACTTTTAGTACCATCCACATAAGTAAAAGAAACGCACGTACTCTTAGTGCCATCCACATGGGTAAGAAACGCACTTACTCTTAGCGCCATCCATATAGGCAAGTAATGCACATATTTTTAGCACCATCTACATGGGTAAAAAACACACTTACTTATAGTAACATCTACATGGTTAAGTCACTTACACATCAGTAAATAACGCAATTAAATAAATAGCGCACTTACTTTTAGTACCATCCACATGATAAAGAAACGCGCTTACACTTGGTACCATCCACATCGGTAAATAACGCAACTACTCTTATGACCATCCATATAATGAACATACTCTTACACATAGTACCATCCACATGGGTAAGTAACACACTTACTATTACACTTAGTACCCTTACACATTATTAAGAAACGCACTTACTCTTAGCGCTATCCACAAAGATAACTAATGCCCTTACTTTTAGTACCATCCACATGGGTAAGTAACGCACTTATTTTTAGCGCCATCCATATGGATAAGCAATGCACTTACTCTTAGTACCATCGATATTAATAAGTAACGCATGTACTCTTAGTACCATCCACATGAGTAAGTAATGGACTTACCATGCGCATGGGTAAGTAACACACTTACTCTTAGTACCATCCACGTGCATACTCCTAGCACTATGCACATGGGTAAGTAACGCACTTACTGTTAACACCATCCACATGGGAAAGAAACGCACTTACTCTTAGCGCCATCCATATGGGAAAGTAATGCGCTTACTCTTACACTTATTCTTAGCGCCATCCATATGGGTAAGTATTGCATTTACTCTTGGCACCATCCACATGGGTAAACAACCACACTTACAGTATCATCGACATGGTTAAGAAACGCACTTACTCTTAGCGCCATCTACAAAGGTAAGTAATGACCTTGCTCTTAGTACCATCCATATAAAGAAGTAACGCACATGCTCTTTGTACCATCCACATGGGTAAGTAACGCGCTTACTCTTAGTACCATCCACATAATTAAGTAACGCATTTACTCTTAGTACCATCCACATGGGTAAGCAACACACTTACTCTTAGTACCATCCACATGGTTAAGTAACGCACATATTCCTAGCGCTATGCACATGGGGAAGTAATTCACTTACTCTTAGCGTCATCCATATGGATAAAAAACTACACTTGAAGTATCATCCACATGGTTAAGAATCACACATACTCTTAGAACCATGCACATGGGTAAGTAACGCACTTACTCTTAGTACCATCTACATGGGTAAGAAACACTCTTATTCTTAGTGCCATCTACATGAGTAAGTAACGCGCTTACCCTTAGCACCATGCACGTGGGTAAGAAACGCACTTACTCTTAGCGTCATCCATATGGATAAAAAACCATACTTGAAGTATCATCCATATGGTTAAGAATCACACATACTCTTAGAACCATGCACATGGGTAAGTAACGCACTTACTCTTAGTACCATCTACATGGGTAAGAAACACTCTTATTCTTAGTGCCATCTACATGAGTAAGTAACGCGCTTACCCTTTGCACCATGCACATGGGTAAGAAACGCAATTACTGTTAGTAACATCCACATGGGTAAGTAACACACATAATTTTAGTACCATCCACATAATTAAGCAACGCACTTACTCTTAGTACCACTAATCCACGTGGTTAAGTAACGCACTTACTCGTAGCACCAAGCACATGGCAAATAACGCACTTATTTTTAGTCTCATACACATGGTTAAGTAACACACATACTTTTAGCACTATCCACATGGATAAGTAACACACCCACTCTTATACCATCCATATGGGTAAGTAACGCATTTATGCTTAGCACCATCCACATGGGTAGAAAACGCACGTACTTTTAGTACCATCGACATGATTAAGCAACGCATTTACTGTTAGCACTATCCACATGGTTGAGTAACGTATTTGCACTTAGTGCGATCCACATCGGTATATAATGCACTTACTGTTAGTACCATACACGTGGTTAAGTAATGCACTTACTCTAAGTGCCATCCATATGGTTAAATAACACACTTACTCTTAGCACCATCCAAATGGGTAAAGAACTTATTTACTTAATAGTACCATCCACATGGTTAACTAACGCACTTACTTTTGGTTAAATAACACACTTACTCTTAGCACCATCCAAATGGGTAAAGAACTTATTTACTTAATAGTACCATCCACATGGTTAACTAACGCACTTACTTTTGGTGTCATCAACATGATAAGTAACGCACTTGCCCTTAGTGCCATCCACATGGGTAAGAAACGCACTTACTCTTAGTACCATCCACATGGGTAAATAACGCACTTACTCTTAGTACCATCCACATGAATAAGCAACGCACTTACTCTTAGTGCCATCCGCTGGGTAAGTAACGTACTTACTCTTAGTACCATCCATATGGGTAAGTAACACACTTACTCTTAGGACCATCAACATGGTGAAGTAACGCACATACTCTTAGTACCATCCACATGGGTAAATAACGCACTTACTTTTAGTACCTTCCACATGATTAGGAAATGCTCTTACACTTGGAACCATCCACATCGGTAAATAACGCAAGTACTCATATTACCATCCACATGGTTAAGTAACGCACATACTCTTGCCACCATGCACATGGTTAAGTAACGCACTTACTCTTAGTACCATCCACATAGGTTAGTATCACGCTTACCCTTACCCTTCATGGGTAAGAAATGCACTCACTGTTAGTGCCATCCATATGGGTAAGAAACGCGCTTACTTTTAGTACCATCCACATGGGTAAGTAGCGCACTTACTCTTAGTACCATCCACATAATAACATCCATATGGGTAAATAACGCACTTACTTTTGGTACCATCCATATGGGTAATTAAGCAACGCAGTGACACTTAGTACCATCCACATGGTTAAGTAATGCACTCACTCTTAGCACCATCCACATGGTTAAGTATCGCACTTACTCTTAGCACCATCCACATGGGAAATGACACACTTAATTTTAGTACCATACACATGGTTAAGTAACGCATTTACTGTTAGTACCATCCACATGGCTGAGCAATGCACATACTCTTAGTAACATCCACATGGGTAAATAACGCATGAACTTCATGGTTAAGTAACGCACTGACACTTAGTGCGATCCACATCGGTATAATATATCCTTATAGTACCGTCCATATGGCTACGTGACGCACTTTCTCTTAGTGTCATTTACATGGGTATATAACGCACTTGCTCTTAGCACCATCCACATGGGTAAGTAACGCACTTACTCTTAGTGCCATCCACATGGGTAAGAAAAGCACTTACTCTTACCCACGCGTGGGGACCATCCACGTGGGTAAGTAACGCACTTACTCTTAGTGCCATCCACATGGGTAAGTAACGCACTTACTCTTAGTGCCATCCACATGGGTAAGTAACGCACTTACTCTTAGTACAATCCACATCGGTAAATAACACACTGAATTTTTGTACCATCCACATGGTTTTAGAAATGCACTTACACTTGGTAGTATCCACATCGGTAAATAACGCAAGTACTCTTATTACCATCCACATGGTTAAGTAACGCATAAACTATTAGCACCATGCACATGTGTAAGTAACGCACTTACTCTTAGTACCATCCACATGGTTAAGTAACGCACTTACTCTTAGTGCGATCCATATCTGTAAATAACGCACATACTCTTAGTACCATCCACGTGGTTGAGTAACGCAATTATTCTTAGCACCATCCACATGGCAAATAACACACTTACTTTTAGTACCATACGCATAGTTAAGTAACACACATACTCTTAGCACCATCCACATGGGTAAGTAACGCACTTACTCTTAGAACCATCCACATGGGTAAGTAACGCACTTACTGTTAGTACCATCCATATTGCTAAGCAACGCACATCCACATGGATAAAACGCGCACTTACTTTTACTACCATCCACACGATTAAGCAATGCACTTACACTTAGTACCACCCACATGGTTAGGTAACGCACTTACACTTATTGCGATTCACATCGGTATATAACGCACGTACTTTTAGTACCATCTACATGGGTAAGTAACGCACTTACGATTAGTATCATCCACATGATTAAGTAACGCACATACTTTTAGTACCATCCACATAATTAAGCAACGCACTTAGTCTTAGCACCATCCACATGGGCAAATAATACACCTACTTATAGTACCATCCACACGGTTAAGTAATGCACAATACTCTTAGCACCATGCACATGCGTAAGTAACGGATTTACTCTTAGTACCATGTACATGGGTAAGAAACGCACTTAATCCTAGTACCATCCACATGAGTAAGAAATGCACTTACTCTTAGTGCCATCCACATGGATAAATAATGCACTTACTCTTTGTACCATCCACATGGGTAAGTAACGCACTTATAGTACCATCCACATGGGTAAGAAATGCACTTACTTTTAGCACCATCCATGTAGGTAAGTAATGCACTTACTCTTAGCACCATCCACATGGGTAAATAACACACTTACTTATAGAACCATCCACACAGATAAGCAATGCACATACTATTAGCACCATACATTTGAGTACGTAACCCACATACTATTAGTACCATCCACACAGGTAAGTAATGTACTTACTATTAGTACCATCCAAATAGTTGAGTAACACACAAATTGTTAGCACCATCCACATGGGTAAGTAACGCACTTACTCTTAGTACTATCCACACGGGTTAGTAACACACTTATAGTACCGTCCAGATGGGTAAATAACGTACTTACTCTTAGCGCAATCCATATAGGTAAGTTTTGCACTTACTCTAAGCACCATGCACATAGGTAAATATCACACTTACTTATATCACCATGCACATGGGTAAGTAACGCAATATTTAGTACCACCTTTCCCTTGGTAAGAA